TTATGTTAGTTCACGGTACTGTTATGTTCACGGTACTGTTATGTTAGTTTACGGTACTGTTATGTTCACGGTACTGTTATGTTAGTTCACGGTACTGTTATGTTAGTTTACGGTACTGTTATGTTCACGGTACTGTTATGTTAGTTCACGGTACTGTTATGTTAGTTCACGGTACTGTTATGTTAGTTTACGGTACTGTTATGTTAGTTCACGGTACTGTTATGTTCACGGTACTTTTATGTTAGTTTACGGTACTGTTATGTTCACGGTACTTTTATGTTAGTTTACGGTACTGTTATGTTAGTTCACGGTACTGTTATGTTCACGGTACTTTTATGTTAGTTTACGGTACTGTTATGTTAGTTCACGGCGCTTTTATGTTAGTTTACGGTACTGTTATGTTAGTTCACGGTACTGTTACGTTAGTTTACGGTACTGTTATGTTAGTTCACGGTACTGTTATGTTAGTTTACGGTACTGTTATGTTAGTTCACGGTACTGTTATGTTAGTTTACGGTACTGTTATGTTAGTTTACGGTACTGTTATGTTCACGGTACTTTTATGTTAGTTTACGGTACTGTTATGTTAGTTTACGGTACTGTTATGTTAGTTCAGCGTACTGTTATGTTCACGGTACTGTTATGTTAGTTTACGGTACTGTTATGTTAGTTCACGGTACTGTTATGTTAGTTCACGGCACTTTTATGTTAGTTCACGGTACTGTTATGTTAGTTTACGGTACTGTTATGTTAGTTTACGGTACTGTTATGTTAGTTTACGGTACTGTTATGTTCACGGTACTGTTGTTAGTTCACGGTACTGTTATGTTAGTTTACGGTACTGTTATGTTAGTTCACGGTACTGTTATGTTAGTTCACGGTACTGTTATGTTCACGGTACTTTTATGGTAATTCATGGTAATATTATGCTAGTTCATGGTACTTTTATGTTAGTTTAGAGTACTATTATTGCACTTTAGCGAACTATACATGAACAAAGAAAAATTATTAGGCTACAAGCGTATAACGCCTTACAAGACACAGAACTATGGTCAGGTGTGTGTAGTGTAGCAGTGTACTGTGATTACCAGGTGTGTGTAGTGTACTGTGATCACAACCAGGTGTGTGTAGTGTACTGTGATTACTACCATGTGTGTGTGTAGTGTATTGTGATTACTACCAGGTGTGTGTAGTGTACTGTGATCACAACCAGGTGTGTGTAGTGTACTGTGATTACTACCATGTGTGTGTGTAGTGTATTGTGATCACAACCAGGTGTGTGTAGTGTACTGTGATTACTACCATGTGTGTGTGTAGTGTATTGTGATCACTACCAGGTGTGTGTAGTGTACTGTGATTACTACCATGTGTGTGTGTAGTGTATTGTGATTACTACCATGTGTGTGTGTAGTGTACTGTGGTACCAACCATGTGTGTGTAGTGTACTGTGATTACTACCATGTGTGTGTAGTGTACTGTGATCACTACCAGGTGTGTGTAGTGTACTGTGATCACCTGTCATGTGTGTGTAGTGTACTGTGAGGTACCTGTCATGTGTGTGTGTAGTGTATTGTGATCACTACCAGGTGTGTGTAGTGTACTGTGATTACTACCATGTGTGTGTGTAGTGTATTGTGATTACTACCATGTGTGTGTGTAGTGTATTGTGATCACTACCAGGTGTGTGTAGTGTACTGTGATTACTACCATGTGTGTGTAGTGTATTGTGATCACTACCAGGTGTGTGTAGTGTACTGTGATTACTACAAGGTGTGTAGTGTAGCAGTGTACTGTGATCACAACCAGGTGTGTGTAGTGTACTATGATCATTACCAGGTGTGTGTGTGTGTGTGTGTGTGTGTAGTGTACCTGTGTACTGTGATCACTACCAGGTGTGTACCTGTGTACTGTGATTACCACCAGGTGTGTGTAGTGTACCTGTGTACTGTGATCACTACCAGGTGTGTACCTGTGTACTGTGATCACTACCAGGTGTGTACCTGTGTACTGTGATTACCACCAGGTGTGTGTAGTGTACAGTGATCATTACCAGTGTGTGTGTGTGTGTAGTGTACCTGTGTACTGTGATCACTACCAGGTGTGTACCTGTGTACTGTGATTACCACCAGGTGTGTGTAGTGTACAGTGATCACTACCTAGTGTAGGCTCCAGAGCTGCTGCCGGAACCACACTTACTCTCATACCATCCTAAACTCAACTAAATCAATTCTGGTCTATTTAGTTTACTATGTGGGTTTACTAGGCTGTGTGGGTTTACTAGGCTGTGTGGGTTTACTAGGCTGTGTGGGTTTACTAGGCTGTGTGGGTTTACTAGGCTGTATGGGTTTACTAGGCTGTATGGGTTTACTAGGCTGTATGGGTTTACTAGGCTGTGTGGGTTTACTAGGCTGTGTGGGTTTACTAGGCTGTTTGGGTTTACTAGGCTGTATGGGTTTACTAGGCTGTATGGGTTTACTAGGCTTTACTAGGCTGTATGGATTTACTAGGCTGTATGGGTTTACTAGGCTGTATGGGTTTACTAGGCTGTATGGGTTTACTAGGCTGTATGGGTTTACTAGGCTGTATGGGTTTACTAGGCTGTATGGGTTTACTAGGCTGTATGGGTTTACTAGGCTGTATGGGTTTACTAGGCTGTATGGGTTTACTAGGCTGTATGGGTTTACTAGGCTGTATGGGTTTACTAGGCTGTGTGGGTTTACTAGGCTGTATGGGTTTACTAGGCTGTATGGGTTTACTAGGCTGTGGGGGTTTACTAGGCTATGGGTTCGCGAGTCTATACAATAAGTTCCCCAGGAAGCAAGTTCTACGTGAAAAAAGTTCAATAGTTGAAACGTGGAACGTGGAACTTCAGAAGAAAGTTACGCGTGAAACAAGTTTCTCTAGAAGCCTATGCTTATACAAGGCAAGAGGCTATCGTGAATGCTTCATAAAACAGGCTATCGTGATGCTTCTCGAGCAAGCTATCGTGTATGTTCTTTAAATAAATACCAAAGTTCATCTATACACAAACTACCATACGTTACCTTTAAATTACCATGCATTGTTCTTAATTCAAACTACCATGCATCATCCTTAAACATTCAAACATTTTCCTTAAACTACCATACACTTGTCCTTAAACTACCCATGTGCTGCCCTTAAACCACGATACACTATCCGTAAATTACTACCATGCATTGCCCATAAACTACCATGAATTGAGCATGAACTACTATACGTTGACTGTAAACTACCATGATACCATGAATGGTTTACACACACACTCAGGGAACTGTTTCAACGATACCTTAAGAGGTAACCTTTGCTAAAAGGGATTCTTTCAGTAACCTTGTAAGAATGAAGACCAGGAGTGGTCATGCAGAAATTACAGAACTACATTACAGTGGTACCCTCGCCGCGTAAGGTTACAAAGGTACATTGTATCTTGTTGCACCTTTGGTGGTGTCAGAACGCAACGTGTAGCGGTAAGTTGGGGCATTATTTCTTTTACATACGCATGCACGCACACACGCACGTACACACATATATGTTACATGTGGGTGTGATGGAGAGGCGTGGGAGGGAGTGAGGGAGAGTGAGACCTGCCAGCAGAGATTTGAGGAAAGCGATAGAAAATAGATGTGGGCGAGATGCCCTCTGGATGCACGAGAGAGGTAGAGGCGTGGGAGAGGCAGAGAGACGTGGGAGAGGTAGAGAGAGCCGTGGGAGAGGCAGAGAGAGACGTGGGAGAGGTAGAGAGAGCCGTGGGAGAGGTAGAGAGAGACGTGGGAGAGGCAGAGAGAGACGTGGGAGAGGTAGAGAGAGCCGTGGGAGAGGTAGAGAGAGACGTGGGAGAGGTAGAGAGAGAGACGTGGGAGAGGTAGAGAGAGGCGTGGGATAGGTAGAGAGACGTGGGAGGTAGAGAGAGCCGTGGGAGAGGTAGAGAGAGGCGTGGGAGAGGTAGAGAGAGACGTGGGAGAGGTAGAGAGACGTGGGAGAGGTTGAGAGAGGCGTGGGAGAGGTAGAGAGAGGCGTGGGAGAGGTAGAGAGATGTGGGAGAGGTAGAGAGAGCCGTGGGAGAGGTAGAGAGAGACGTGGGAGAGGCAGAGAGACGTGGGAGAGGTGGAGAGAGCCGTGGGAGAGGTAGAGAGAGACGTGGGAGAGGTAGAGACGTGGTAGAGGTGGAGAGAGCCGTTGGAGAGGTAGAGAGAGAGCCGTGGGAGAGGCAGAGAGACGTGGGAGAGGTGGAGAGAGCCGTGGGAGAGGTAGAGAGAGACGTGGGAGAGGTAGAGAGACGTGGGAGAGGTAGAGAGAGACGTGGGAGAGGCAGAGACGTGGGAGAGGTGGAGAGAGCCGTGGGAGAGGTAGAGAGAGACGTGGGAGAGGTGGAGAGAGCCGTGGGAGAGGTAGAGAGAGACGTGGGAGAGGTAGAGAGAGACGTGGGAGAGGTGGAGAGAGCCGTGGGAGAGGTAGAGAGAGACGTGGGAGAGGTAGAGAGAGACGTGGGAGAGGTGGAGAGAGCCGGGGGAGAGGTAGAGAGAGATGTGGGAGAGGTAGAGACGTGGGAGAGGTGGAGACAGCCGTGGGAGAGGCAGAAAGGCGTAGGAGAGATCATTTGAAGTTGGCGGGTGAGAGTGGCACTGCGCGAGGCGTGGCGGCCACACCAGGCAGGAGGAGCCAAGGCACCGCCGCCACCACCTCCCTCACTCTCATCTATAAATACACGCCACCTCTCCCTCTTCCTCTCGCCTCTCCCACGCCCACACGCCCATCCACAACCCATCCTGAGATCCACCCTTCCTTCCCCTTGGTCTCGGCTCTGCCTCAGGGGGCGAGGCAGACGAGTTTATAAGGACTTCAATGCAACCCAAATAAACGTCAGTGAGCGGCAGCCACAGCCTCGCCGCCGCCACTCGTCCTCGCCACACTGCTCACTACACCTTCGTCGCCGCCGTCAGGCACCGTCGTCGGCACACAGGCACCAGCGGGAGGATATTTACCCGAAAGAGAATGGAAGAAAGCCGGCGGCAGCCTCACGTCCACCCGGTATTCACTGCCATCGCAGACTGAGCGCGTTCGCCTGCTATTGATCCAAACTTAGGCGTCGAGGTCTCTTGCCGAGCGCGGATGCCACATACTACTAACATCTCTCCCATTTTCCTCTCCCACGGCCATATCTCGTGTCTTCCCCTCTACCTCTATCTCATCTAACCGCTTCCTAGCATGCACTAACCACAGTGGCACGTAAGAAAGGGGGAAGTGGGATGAATGGGGGCATGTAAACAAAGATCAATTGGCATTGTTGCCTCCACGTGTTGCCTCTAGAAGTTAACATCTGGATGAGTTTCCATTCTAAATACTCACGCTCCGCTCTAGGGTATACTCTATGTTTCCCCTCTGTAAACTGTGCACGCAGCCGGGGTGCATTATGCTCACGTATACTTGTGTATACTTAGAGAGGGGAATTTCCTAAACAAGGCAAAATTGTGAAAGGAATTTGAATATATTCTAGATAATAATCAAAGAAAACAGCATTGAAATTACTCAATATATGGATCGTATTGAATTTATGTTAAAATCTTTATGATGTACATTTATTAATATAAACTATAGGATAAGCAATAGTATATAAAAAATTTATTTATATAAATTCACAACAAACTTTTCAAAAGTCAAATTTAACTAGATTTCAAGTGCTCAGTAGAGTTCTTTATATAATTTTATTATGAAATAATATAAAATAAATATTAATGTATTAGATTTGAAGATATATGTTATATGTTAAATTAATGAAATCAACACTAAAGAATATTATTGCCTCTGGTATATGTAATGTTGAAGAAGGTTTTAGTAATTACTCTTTAAAGAGACTTCATATATATGAGTATAACTGAATAACAAAAAAATAAATAACCGAAGGGAATAAATGATTGGCCTTAGGTAAATATTTATAATAGGTCAATTATTCAACCTAAAATAGAACACTAGTCGACGGATTCAAATGTAATAAGTTAAGATTCTGGAAAAACACAGATGAATATTACTATGGAAATGAGGTTTCGATTTACGGGACAAATAATCAGGTAGCATTATAAACTGTGAATCGTTGGGTTGTTTCTAACGCAGGTTAGACATACGTTGAACTGCTATACTATTTTATTTGCACAATCATATGTATGTATGTATATATATATATATATATATATATATATATATATATATATATATATATATATATATATATATATATATATATATATGTCGTACCTAATAGCCAGAACGCACTTCTCAGCCTACTATGCAAGGCCCGATTTGCCTAATAAGCCAAGTTTTCATGAATTAATGTTTTTTAGACTACCTAACCTACCTAACCTAACCTAACCTACCTTTTTCGGCAACCTAACCCAACCTAACCTATGAAGATAGGTTAGGTTAGGTTAGGTAGGGTTGGTTAGGTTCGGTCATATATCTACGTTAATTTTAACTACAATAAAAAAAAATTGACCTCATACATAATGAAATCGGTAGCTTTATCATTTCATAAGAAAAAAATTAGAAAAAATATATTAATTCAGGAAAACTTGGCTTATTAGGCAAATCGGGCCTTGAATAGTAGGCCAAAAAGTGAGTTCTGGCTACTAGGTACGACATATATATATATATACATATGTCTATATATATATATATATATATATATATATATATATATATATATATATATATATATATATATATATATATATATATATATATATATATAATGTGTGTATTTTTCCTGCATTAATTATGTTGACAGTTTAATTGTTAAATTAACATGATCTAGTTTCCTCCTGTGAAGGCTAAAAGTGATTAGAAAACGGGAATAACTATAGAGAAAAACATAGAAAACGAAGATAGGAATAAGAATAAGGAGATAAGGATAACAGGGGAATGAGAATATTAGCTTAGCAATAGAATAAGGATAGAATGATAATGGTTCATGGATAAGAACAAAGGATAAACGAGAAAAAAATAGAGAAGATAGAAATGTTTAGAAAACTATTTGATAGATTCTACAATCACGGTATAGCTGACACTATATGGGGCAGGACAGTCACCCCTAGACACCTGGGGCCAGATTCACGAAGCAGTTACGCAAGTACTTACGAACCTGTACATCTTTTCTCAATCTTTGGCGGCTTTGTTTACAATTATTAAACAGTTAATGAGCTCCGAAGCACCAGGAGGCTGTTTATAACAATAACAACAGTTGATTGGCAAGTTTTCATGCTTGTAAACTGTTTAATAAATGTAACCAAACCCGTCAAAGATTGAGGAAAGATGTACACGTTCGTAAGTACTTGCGTAACTGGTGAATCTGGCCCCTGGCTCTCAAATATGGCTGTCAGGCGACTGCTGACTATCCTGCTTGGCCGTCCTCGGCCAGAGTTGAGAACTGAATGGTCTGAGTGAGAACTGAATGGTCTGAGAACTGAATGGTCTGAGTTGAGAACTGAATGATCTTAGATGTGGATTTATTGGTTGGTGAGGTCATTTATTTTAGTCTAAACGGGAATTCATGAGTAAAAGAATTTTTTTTATCTGACGTGAGAATTTATTTAATCACATTGAGAATTTATTGATCTAAGCCAGAATTTATTGGCTTGATTGTTTGATTGTTCTAATTACTGAAGTAAAATGAAGCTATTACAGTAGACCTACTTGAAATTATATTGTAAGCTTGCCTAAAAAATATGCATTAGGTCTACCTGAAATTTGTTGCGAATTGTTTTGTGTTTATATTTTTGAGTGAGAATTAGTTTATGTGATGTTTGGAGTATTAAGGTGATTAAATTACTAACCGGTTGATAAAACTAATTATACGTATTCAAGTATGTTTATTGAGACAAGAAAAAAATACATCTCGAAGGGATAGAGTAGTTTAGGCTATTTCTACCCCCCCCCCATTTTTTGTTTACATATTTCGAATGATACGATACTTGAAACAGCGTAGGCCTGAAGACTATAGGCCTATGGGTTTGGTCCTGAGAATAGATGTTAAATGTCTAATAAATTAGATGAAGCTCATGAAAGTCAAAATTCAAATTCAAAAAACTATATTTATAAATAAATGACGTATTTATAATCTTTGTTTTCAAAGTTTCAAGCTTAAGTTTGATAAATAAAATATTAAATGTAATTATAACCTAATTCATCCTTTAATGTATTGTCAGTATAGTTAACAATATTTTGAATTCTGTTCAACGAGCTGGTTAGTGTTCAGCTTGGAGAACATTGAGTCCTCTGAGCATTTAGAACATTGAATATTTGAATACCATGAACAAATCTACAAGGGTCGTGACGAGGATTGGAACCTACGTCCAAGAGGATCCCAGACGCTGCCTTAATCGACTGAGATTCTGGGATACTCTCAGACGTAGGTTCGAATCCTCGTCACGGCCCTTGTCGATATGTTCATTTGATCACGCTATTGTGACTTTTGTGTGTTTTGTATACTCTTCTGCTTGTTCTCTGATTAGGGAGCCGGTCGGCCGAGCGGACAGCACGCGGGACTTGTGATCCTGTGGTCCTGGGTTCGATCCCAGGCGCCGGCGAAACAATGGGCAGAGTTTCTTTCACCCTATGCCCCTGTTACCTAGCAGTAAATTAGGTACTTGGGTGTTAGTCAGCTGTCACGGGCTGCTTCCTGGGGGTGGAGGCCTGGTCGAGGACCGGGCCGCGGGGACACTAAAGCCCCGAAATCATCTCAAGATAACCTCAAGATAGGCGTAAGTATACTTGTCTAGTTATTTGGAATATGTATTTTATCTTTTTATTCATAATAATAGCAATAATTGTATTATTATAAGAAAAGGGGTATATACACTGAGAGGTTACCTCCAGAGGTTGATAGACTTTAATAACCCTCCAGTGGTTGATAGGCCTTAATAACCCTCTAGAGGTTGATAGGCCTTAATAACCCTCCAGAGGTTGATAGGTCTTAATAACCCTCCAGAGGTTGATAGGCCTTAATAACCCTCTAGAGGTTGATAGGCCTTAATAACCCTCCAGAGGTTGATAGGCCTTAATAACCCTCCAGAGGTTGATAGGCCTTAATAACCCTCCAGAGGTTGATAGGCCTTAATAACCCTCCAGAGGTTGATAGGCCTTAATAACCCTCCAGAGGTTGATAGGCCTTAATAACCCTCCAGGGGTTGATAGGCCTTAATAACCCTCCAGGGTTGATAGTCCTTAATAACCCTCCAGGGGTTGATAGGCCTTAATAACCCTCCAGAGGTTGATAGGCCTTAATAACCCTCCAGAGGTTGATAGGCCTTAATAACCCTCCAGAGGTTGATAGGCCTTAATAACCCTCCAGAGGTTGATAGGTCTTAATAACCCTCCAGAGGTTGATAGGCCTTAATAACCCTCCAGAGGTTGATAGGCCTTAATAACCCTCCAGAGGTTGATAGGCCTTAATAACCCTCCAGAGGTTGATAGGCCTTAATAACCCTCCAGAGGTTGATAGGCCTTAATAACCCTCCAGAGGTTGACAGGCCTTAATAACCCTCCAGGGGTTGATGAGCCTTAATAACCCTCCAGACGTTGATAGGCCTTAATAACCCTCCAGAGGCTTGAACGGCCTTAATAACCCTCCAGAGGTTGATAGGCCTTAATAACCCTCCAGAGGTTGACAAGCCTTAATAACCCTCCAGAGGTTGATAGGCCTTAATAACCCTCCAGAGGTTGATAGGCCTTAATAACCCTCCAGAGGTTGATAGGCCTTAATAACCCTCCAGAGGTTGATAAGCCTTAATAACCCTCCAGAGGTTGATAGGCCTTAATAACCCTCCAGAGGTTGATAGGCCTTAATAACCCTCCAGAGGTTGATAGGCCTTAATAACCCTCCAGAGGTTGATAGGCCTTAATAACCCTCCAGAGGTTGATAGGCCTTAATAACCCTCCAGATGTTGATAGGCCTTAATAACCCTCCAGAGGTTGATAGGCCTTAATAACCCTCCAGAGGTTGATAGGCCTTAATAACCCTCCAGAGGTTGATAGGCCTTAATAACCCTCCAGAGGTTGATAGGCCTTAATAACCCTCCAGAGGTTGATAGGCCAACACCAA